ATGCCATGAGACAGTGAAAATAGTGCAGTGAAACACATTAATGATTAAGTTACTTCTGACTTTGGGTCAAGGGATAATGCAACGATATACCCGATTGTCTAAAATGTTAAACCTTGATATTAAATGTCAGTGTAAGCACGCCCACTGCTAGCATTCTAAAATACATCCTACTGCGGTGCCATGCTCTATTCGTTGGTAGCTAGTGCACTACTAAACGCCATTGTAAGGCGCTAAACAGCTTAGTTCTCATACAGTACTGGCTTCTTGCCTAATAACCTAAACTTACCTTAATGTTCACCTTAATGTTAACACTAAAAAAAAAAAAAATTACCGAGATAATATCGTAAACCGTGGTAATTTTGGTCACAATAACCGTGAGCCGAAAATTTCACACCGTGACACCCCTAGTTGAGAGATGGCACAGACGTAAGTACTAGCATCACTCCTCACATGCTCCCACTCTCTGCCAGAAAGTGCGGTGCCGCACAGCATTTGGAGGCAGGACCAAACCATTACATGTAAATAGAGAGGGGTGTACAGAGGCTTTGGATTATTAACTTTTGGCATAAAAAAGTGAAATGAATCGTAAGTGTAGTGAGTACATTATGAATTTAACGTTATATTAATGTTAATTGTTGATGATTGATGAAAGGTTACTTAAACATTTTTTCTTAATGTTCTAAAAAATGTTGGGGCCCCTGTCAGTCACGGGCCCTTAGAATCGTCCTAACCTTTCACCCCCTTACGGCGCCCCTGGATGGAGCCAGTATCACTAAGTAACACCCAGTGACAGTGCAGGTGGAGGAGAGGAGGAGTCGCTAATATTATCAAGTACAGTGCTCTATAGCTCACTGAAGAACAACATGGATATCTTTATCTCGCCAATTTTTGATATCATGAGACACAAATGGGGTACACTTATGACCAAAATCGCCTCACTGTTAGCAGCCAAACCAGATTCCTGCTTCACCTTTGACGTACTATCAGTGTTGTGAACTCAGATCCCGTGGAATTCGAGATTATAGATTAATAACAAAAATAAACAATACATAATTTAACATTCATTATCATAGGATAAGAAAAACTATCAATCGCTGTGTGAAATTCACAATATGTAAAAAAATATTAGTTTCTCCTTTATAATAACAGTAATTAACACATTAATGCATCAGTCATTTTAATAAAATAATATAACATATTTTATTCTAACATGGGAAGTTGTGTTACTTTTAGACCAGCTCATTATCCAGGTAGATGTATTCATTCTACAGTAACATTTAGATTGCGGGATATTACTTGCAGAGAAAGTACTTCTACACGGTAGTTTTACTACTTCTACTTCAGTAAAGGATCTCCTTACTGTGTATCCACACAGAGTTTTAGTAAGACATAGAAAGTTGTGTTTTACATGGAAGTCAAAGTCATATTTCTATATGTATATTCCTGTAAACAATTACAGGTTAGGCCATTGTTTTTAGAAATGTACTTGAAATATTGTCAGTGAACAGTACAACTTAAAAAAAAGTTTTAATTAATAAAATGTATTAATAAAAGTATTAATGATATTTGAAATGTATACATTTTATTTGAGTCCTACTTACCTCTTATACATTAAATATGAATACAAATGTGTAGGTTTTTCCAATGTGATTATTGAATTTATGGATTTTACCTCTGAAGTAAGTCGGATTCATATTCTCAAAAAAAAGAAAATGGGTATAATTAGCTTTTTTAATAAAAAAAACTCTAAAAGACAAGGCATTACATATAATAAATTGCATACATAAACAAAATTCATAGTTTAAGAATAATTTATACATGAGATTTCTTAAAACAGCTTGTAGATATTGACTCCTGCAGCCACAAATATTTCACTTGCACTGACCATCGAGGTCTCTTCAGCAATATTCTCATGGCATCATTATAAGCTATACTTGAAGTTTCCGTAAACTTGCTTTTCTGTAGTTTGACCACAAATGTGCAGTATTGAGTGGTGTACAATATGCTCTGAACAGAGACATCTTCACTCCATCTGTACATGCACTAAACTTGCGTAGGAGAATGTTTGCTTCAGCATACATCATGCAGCATTGCCTATAAATATTTTCATCATCTATCATTTGTTCTGTAATAAAGTGTCCAATATATTTTAACTTATTACGGACACTAAGATTAATATCAGACCATTTAAAATCAGGACATTTTAGACATTTATCCTCTTTGGTTCTAAAGATCATGACAGCACTCTTACTGGCGTTGTATTTGATGTCATGTTCCACACCATACACAGAACAAACAGCAAGAAGCTGCTGAAGACTAGCGCTAGATGGACTCAGCACAACAAGATCCTCTGCATACATAATATGGTTCACTACTAGAACTACCAATCATGCATCCAGTATTACAGGCCTTCAGTCGCTTGGACAGATCTTCTAATATAAAGTTAAAAAGAACTGTGGGACATAATTCCACCTTGTCTGACACCATTGCTAACCCCCAAATGGGGCTGAGACCGCTATTGCGCGCCATGTACTTGCATAGTATCGGTGGGGCCCATAACACAAGTAGACCAGAAATTCTCACATGTATTTGGGCCCACCCCTCTTTGATTCAAGTTTAACAAATAACTTCCTATGATTAACACGATCAAAGGCCTCAGAAAAGCATCCAAATGGAAGCACATAAGAACTGAATGAGTGTATTAGCCCTCTATATTTGTTAAC